TGAGGCGACTGAAGACATCACAGCCTGGGGGAACTCAGGGTACAGGCTCAGCATCACTACTGGATCACCCATCAGAGTGCCTGAAACACAACATATGTGACTCAGCTATATAAAAATAAAAATTATTACCTCTTATATTTAACACATCTTCACTAATTTGCACTCACCAGGCTTGGCAGACGCCTGTCCTGCCTCCACCACAGCAGTGGGCTGGTGGGCATCTTTGTAATAAATCAGCAGTTCAACATCTCTGTCAAACTTGTGTCCTGCGGCCAACTTGACCTGCAGTTCACAAAATACACTCATAAATATAATTTAAGTCATTTACATCTTGTTCTCAGTACTGAGGAACAATCACACACAGCAGACACATCAGCACTGTACAGTAGCTACCGTGGCCTGGGTTTGCTCTGTGTTGAGGTACTGTAGAGGATCCAGGGAACAGTTAGACTCTACTTTAGAGACTGGACGAGGAGAGGACAGTCGGGCAGAGAAAGACAGACTGTAGGGAACCAGAGAGGCTGGAACACAGATCACCTGGACACTGGCACCTTCACTACCTGTGAACAAGAACAGACACGTTTGAAGTAATTTTTGGGGACATAGGGCAAACAAATACATGCATATTGCTGAGGTGCTAACAAATACATGGGACAGGACATTGAAAGACCAAGAAAAGATGTGACACAGTAATGCAAAATTAAGCTTCTCCTCCGATTAATATAATCATCTCTTAATATAATAATGAATGGACAATACCACTTAATGACAATACTTTTATGTGAATGAATTTTCAATGACTTTATTCATCATATTACTCTTCAAGTCTCTTAAAATAATCTTAAACCAAAAAGAGCATCTGAGCTCAAGTGACTGAGAATTTCTGTAAGCTACTTGACAATTTCATTAATTAGCTAAGTGTGTCACAGTGGGTTCTAAAAATCTTACATTTATACAATCTTAATAGGCGCTGTTGGCATATAGTGGAACTAGAATTACCGCCTTGTGGTCGTATGCCTCCACGAACCTGTCAAGGTAAAGTTTATACCCATGTCTGTGAAAACATGGATTCGTCACACACACCCTGTCCCCAGCAGCACAGATATTCTATTTTGTTATCAAAGTTACAAGGTAGGCCTCCAAGATTAGTGACACCAATTCAGTATCTGACCAAATTGTCTCCCCTCCTGTTCCTGAGTTATGATGTTGAGTAATGTCCAGGAAAGTGTTTTTGTGGAACATTATGATGTCACAGTGATATTGACCTGCGACCTTTGGGACATAACTGATTAGAATCAGTTCATTTGTGAGTCCAGGTGGACCTTTGTGCCAAATTTGTGGAAATTTCCTCAAGGTGTTCTTAAGCTATCGCTTTCACAAAGTGAGATGGACGCAAGGTCATAGTGACCTTGACCTTTGACCACCAAATTCTGATCAGTTCATCCTTGACATGAAGTGAATTTTTGTGCGAAATTTGTAGAAATTCCCTCAACTTGTTGTTGAGATACCACGTTCACGAGAATAAACAGAGAAACAGATACAAGATCACGATGACCTTGACCTTTGACCACCAAAATCTATTTAGTTCATCGCTAAGACCGAATGAATGTTTGTGCAAAATTGGGAAAATACCCTCAAGGTGCTCTTGAGATATTGCATTCATGGGAATAAGACAGATGAGATCACAGTGACCCTGATCTCTGACGTATGACCACCAAAGACTATTCAGTTAATCCTTTTCTCCAAGTGGACGTTTGTGCCAAATTTGGATAAAGTCCCTCAAGGCATTCTTAAGATATCACATTCACAAGAATGGAACGTCCATCGGGCAGACCTGAAAACAAGATACCTCTGGCTACGACTATCAGCAGCATGGAGACATAAAAACACTCCATTAGTCAGGTAATTGACGAAAGGAAATATTGGGTTTTGAGACAGACTGAACCTCCCTCTTCAGTTCTTTATTCTCATTTCAGTCACATTTTTAAAGCTTGTATAAAAACTAAACAGGCACAGTAAGTGTCAACACACTACATTCATCTCAACCCAAACATTTTACTAAGTCCAGAACCAGAATCTGAAATTGTGCTCTTCAAATGTCATGTTCATCTTTCTATGGCTTCAGAAAAACATCATGTGTGCATCATTTTGTCAGCAGCTCTTGCAAGTGATGTGTATTTATTCTGGAGAGTCAAGTTGAAACTTGATCTCATTATCATTGACTTTATTTTCACACGACTGGTTTTATGTTCACCCCTGGGCACAGCTGGCAGGTTGTATGAGAATTAACAGCTTGTTGCAAATGTTTTGAGCTGAAGTGTTTTGTCACTGTTGTGAAGGTGGGCTTTTGACTGTCAGGGCTCATGATGAAGGTGTTGGCTGGTTTTCCTACCCTCAGGTTGGTAGCGAGGGTTGAGCACAGCAGGCAGACAAAACCTCAGCCCGTCATCAGCCTGCACAGCCAGCTCAGTGACGTACTCCAGCCTGATGGAGGCGCTCTCTCCTGGAGGCAGACTGCCCACACTCAGAGAGAATATATCTGGACTCTGCTCACTCTCCTCCAACAGGAAGGCCTGCTGACCGGAGCTCAGTGCATCATCATACTCCTCACGAGCCTGGAGTACAGACGACACATGTGAGCAACATTTGCTGTGTTTTTAAGCTCCATTTTAGTGAGTTAGTCTCTGCTGTCCAGCTCACCTTCTGTTTCTCCTTCACCTCAGCTACAATCTCTTTTTGTCCAATCTTAGCACTGAAATGACAGACAGCAGCATCTCCAGGCAGAGGGAAGACAAATATTGCCTCTATTGGTTTGTCCTCCTTGTTCTCATAGTTCAGAGTGGAGACCACTGTAGCCACATGGTCCCTCACCTCCACCTCCACCTCTATGCTCTTTAGAGGAACTGACATAGAAACAGCTGGCAGTTATTGACCAATTAATAACTGATAAGAGAAGCTGCTTGCTGCCTCCCTGATAACCAAACACACATTTGCATGGACAAATACACCCAGACATTTTGCACACACCAACACACAGAAAATACGAAAACAAAAATATAAATATCTAAATGATTTGATACTGTTAACTGTTAACCATGCTGTAGTTATTAATATCATAACATTCACTAATAGGAAGTCTTGTATGATTTATCCAGACAAAAGGTCAAATTAGACTCTGTTTTGTTGTTTTCAGCCATTTACCTGATTCCTTTTGGTAAGTAAGTAGACCACAGCAGATTTCCATCACCCCTGTACAGCAAGTAGGACTAGTATTTGAGGACTTTCTGCTGAAGTGACAAAAAGGTAAAGTTAGTAACTGAGCATTTTTAAAATGTGTTAAGGTAGGCCAACTCTACATTAATAATAGCAGAACTGATTTATAAAATCATAGAGTTGTAAAACTATAAATCATAATATCAAGTAAGATTTTAAGAGTTGCAGCAGTATGAAGCGTAAAAAGAAAGTAAAAGTTAAAAAAAAGAGTTTCAGACCTGTTTCAGGAAGTCAGAGCAAGTTAAAGGCTTAAGTCAACAGATTTCAACTTTCTTTTAAAAATATTTAGCTAGCTGGCGCCCCTGATATCTAGGTAGTGTGTTTCATATCTCGGGCAGAAATGACAAAGGCTGCATCCCCAATCTTCTTCCAGCTGTTCCTGGGAATTTCCAATGAACAAGCAGCAATGACCGCAGTGTTCTTTGAGGCAAATAGTTTAAAAGGGAGTTAGCAATGTAGCTGGGTCAAAGCCTATTTTTAGGGCTTTGTATAGATATATATACCTTTAAATCTGTTCTAAATGTAACAGGAAGTCAGTGCAGAGCAGTTCAGACTGGCCTGACGTGTTCTCTCCTCTTGGTGCTGGTTAGTAGCAGAGCTGCAGAGTTTTAAAAGAGGTGAAGTCTCTCAGTGGTGTTTTTTGGGAGGCCAGTATAAAGTGTATTACAGTAGTCAAGTCGGCTTGCAATAAAGGCATAAATCAATTTCTCAGCATCTTTTTCATTTAGAAATGGTTGTACCTTAGCTGTGTTTCTGAGGTGAAAAATGATGCTTTTGTCACCTTGTTAATGTGGGACTTGAAGCTTAGATCTGAATCAAGGCTCACACCAAGACTTGTCACCACAGATTTAATCCAGGGAGTTCAATTCCCCAGATTATTAAGCAACAATTCTCTTTCTCTCTAAATCTGTGTGAATGACATTCA